ACTTCGTATTTAAGATGTTGGCATCAGAAATAAGTAAACATTTTTGCCGAGTATATCATAAAATATATATGTAAATATAAATTATAATTTAAATTAATAATAATCTCTAATTGCTTAATTTTATTTCCGCTTTCTACTCTAAAAATAGTAATTTTTTTCTGCACTGCTTCACTTCGAGACTACTCCATGTCATATGACTCTTAATCGCTGGTGATGTAAATGGAACAAAACTCAAACCAATAATAATTTTACAGCAGCATTAATTAGCCAATCCAATGTATTGGGAACGAAAACCAACACATTTTTATTAAGATTTCATGCTTAACACAACTTACCTGCTTTCTATACTGCTTACTGCTTTGTTTTTACTGCAAAGCTATCAAAAATGTTACCATTTTTGATATAGGCAACGAATTTGTCAAGCTGTTTGTGGCCGCGATATGTTTACTGAAATAAAAATGATTATTTAATCTGCCACAGCTTCCAAATTTGCTCTTCATTATGGATCAACATTCTATACGTTTCTACGCCATCAGTATTTCTACCACATCATTGCTTTTAAGTCTGCTTCATTACAATGTACACCCTGCCCAAAAAACAAAATGAGGCAGTTCTGTATCTGGCCATTCTAATCAGCTGACTGACGAAATTCAACTTTCCTTTTACATGTCTCGTAAGGGCGACTTAGGATATATATTAGATTTATATATAGAATTGTTCTAACATAAATATTTTCACACAAAATCGGACTTTTTCTAAAATGACATTCCAATTTTTTTCCATATTTCGATTGACTAAATATTAAATTTTATAAAATTTGGTAAGAAACTTACCGAGAAATTAAAAAATTTACCTTGGCACACTTTTTTCACTTTGCTCCAAGAATAAATCACTTGGTGAAGTTCTTAATTTATACTAGCCAACTTTTCTTAAGTGCATCGTTCACTCTTTCGAATATTTTAAACAAAGTACGTAAACCACATGTGGCAGCTAATACATGTGACTTAGCATCGCTTATAATAAATGTACCCAATTTTAAAACCGGGCAAATATATAATTTCACGTATATCTTGGGAAATTTTGAATAAAATGTCTTAATATTTTGCAGGTATGCGTAGAAAAACATCTACTTTAAGGTGGTGGTAAAAATGTTATAGGTTATAATTCAAAAATTTAAAAAAAAATTATAAAAATTTTACTAAAAAATACAAATTAAAAAAATAAATCAGAAAATATCTGCGAGTGGACTGAACCTAAATTTTGAATTGTGAAAGAAGGAATCAAGTAAGTTTAATAAAAGAAAAGAGAGATTAATAAAGACATATCAAACTCAATTAACAATGAGGAGCTAAAATTTTGAGGACTAATGTTTTAAAACTGCTGGTGCAATTTTTACAAAACTTGGCAGTTTTGCATAATTTTACTCATAGAATCGAAATATCGGTATGTCATTTCAGAAAAGTCTAGTTTTACGTCAAAATACCTATATTAGAACAGTACTATATATACATTTAATATAATATCTTAAGTCGTACTTTCGAAGCATGAAAATCGCAAGTTAAATTTTGACCAGCCCAGTAGATATAAAACTGTCCCTTTTTGTGTGTGTGCAGAGTGTACAACATTTATTACAGTAAAGTTCTGCTTTTATGAACATCGTCGGAGTCGGACAGGACATCGTAAGCGCGGGTACACCAACGGAAAAATTCATTTGTCTCAGCAAGAAGTTTACTTGTATCAAGATGAAATTAATGCCCCATTCTTCAATACGAAATGTATCTACAAAATGTATGAATGAATCTTCAAAGTAATGGGATTAGTCAATAAATTCTACACTCAAGTCATTCTGTTTAGCTTTTCACATTGCTAAACATTTATTTTTTGCCGAATAATATTTTGACATCTATTCAAAATCCTTGCTTACTTAAGATGCTCAATGGAAATATCTCGAAATGGAAAGGGGGGGAAATACTCTATAATGGTTTTGCTGCGGTGTACCAGTGCTTAAAAATTCAGTTCGGATATTTATAATAAAGTGATTTCAAGGATCAGGCCAGATGTTTTTCATCTACTTCAATTTTAGAATTAACAAAGATGTCATTTTCAGTGATAGGTAATTCATAAGAGCATGGAGGTGTGCCTTCGATTTAAATTTAAATTTTATAGCTTTGATTTAGCAATTTCGAAAAAGCATAATAATTGTTGTTTAAAAATAAGTAAAACGTAGATTTCCTTTCCTTTAAATGATTTTGCAGTCATAAAATGTGTGAGTATACTTAATGCGTTGTGACTTACCTCACTTGTCTGACAGTAACATCAGAACAAGCCCACGAAACTCATCGTGGCAAAGGAGAGCAAGACTGCGAATGTCCTTAAGCAAGCGCCTTAACTAATGGCATTCACAGGACTAAGGACATTCAAGGACTGACAGGTGACAGCAAAGCTTCGCTCAGTTCCGCCCCAATTTTGATGGAGAGCACACCGGGGGGGGGACAGGTCCGAGGGTCTCCCACTCCTCTTCCCCTACTACCAACCCCTCGAAGTGCCCCCATGCTGCAAAGACACTATAGTACATTTACAAACACCCATGCCTGCTCCAGGATTCGAACCCGGGATCTTCGGTACCGCAGTAGGCTTCCCTAACCACTATACCGTCTGGGCGGCACTTAATGTTGTTACCATGGTAACAGTGTATTTTATATCTTAAGTAATGTTCTATACGTGTTTCAAACTGTTACGAATTTTATATCTAAGTAAATAATTTTAGTGAAATTGTAGTATTTGTTTAAATATAATGTAACATGATAATCTCTAAAAGAGCGGATGCTTTGCCGGAAAAGTTGGAATACAGGGGCAAGTCTATCCAACATTGAATAAATGGCCATCTCGCTAGTTTGGCAAGACATCGCCAAGCTGGCGGCGGTTTGGGCGTCTAATTTTTGTCACCAAACTTAGCAATCATTTGGAGACATTTTGGTCCAGTCCCTATACCATCGTAATGTGTATTGTAATTGATTCATTATGTAGGTGTAATCGTATCCGGCCCTCATATGCCTTCCAGTAATTTCGTAAAAATGGAGTTTACTAGATTTCTCGGCAGCCGGGTGAAAACTATGTAAGATCGGAGACAGTATCTGCTCTCAGTTGTAGTTCAGAGCGACTTCCGAATATTGAGATCCTTGAGAGCTTCGCCTTTTAGAAGCGTTTTGCATTCCATTGGGTTTAGCGTTCTTGGCAGTTTAAATGTAATAACTGATTATACTCTGCAATACTGCGAAGAGTTGTACGAGTATTTCTGTGGGGAGTTCTAAAACTCCAGAACTTTTAAAAAATTTTGAATTTTATCAAGTTATCATCGGTCCTATTCATTCAATCTATTACGAACCCATACGCACGCAATTTTTACCGGAAACAGGATTGAATCCCGGTAACAAGAACGATTAAGTACTAACTATAAGACAGATGGAAGCACCCTTTGCTGCATTTAAACAAAAGATGGAAGGGGCCGTCAACTCCGTCAAAGGAGACATGAAAGCAGGACAAGAGTCGGTTAAAGTAGAGATAAAAGCCTATCAAGAGGTGATGAACGCAGGGCCTAGAAAAAACTGAAACAGGTCAAGAAGAAATGAAAAGAGAAATTACTGCCATAATAGAAGACAAATTTGAGGCTATGGAAGGCAGAACTGACATGATTGAAGGCAAAATTGGAGAAATTCAAGAAAAAGTTTCGCTGTCGAACAACAAAGCGAAGAAAGTTTCGCCCGTCCAACAACAAATTGATAACAAAGTTTCTGCTCCTGTCGACAAGAAAACTGAAAGCTTAAAGAAATTAAAGTTAAATTGTATTTTTACTTCATTAAACTTTGAATATAAAATATTCATTTTCTTATAAAAGCTTTCAAATAAATTTTACATTAAATACTAAAATGCAAAGCTTTGTAATTTTAATTTTCACCTAAAAAACAATACAAAAATTAAACTCTCTGAAAAGGATTTTAAACAATCAAACTTCATATTGCAAGAATTATTCATGCATTCAGATTTATATCATACAACAGCTACAAATTATACTCTGTATAAAAATGTAAGGTGAATTTTGAAGGTATTATTACGATTTCAAATTTTACCTAGGTGCATAGATATTAATCTGCACTTTAATTGCTAATTAATATTGTTATAAATGAATTTTTTATATTTTTTACTTATATTTTTAGTAAATATGCAAAATATTTCTTTTTTCAGAACTTATATTTATTTTAACACGGAATTTCTGCACTTACTAACCATTTCTTAGATTAGTACCTGAAGAGAACTTGGTGATCATTTTTATGTGCAATTGTTTAGTTAAAGATAACCTATTTTAACCAGTTCTAAAGTAAAGTTATTTAATCAACAATATTAACACACACACATTCCCAATTATTTAATACCTCTAAAAGTAGAGAACTAATTTTTTGATATTTCTGAAAGAAATATATAAATACAATTTCCTACTCGTTTAGTTTTATGTTTTAATGCTTTATATTCCCTACTCTTTGATTAAAATGGAGTATTTAATTAAGATATAGCATTTGAGAACTATCTGTTAACTTTATCAAAATTCTGAAAGACAGGATTTTATTCCACGGAATGGAACCTGATCATCTTGCAATTTTAACCGCACCTCCTCTCAATAGGGCTTTCATACTATCATTCCACAAAGATAATATAGGGTGGCCCAGAAGTCACTTTACATTTTGAAAATTAAATAACTTTTTCTTAAATGACTGTATTTAATTAATTCTTTTTTATTTTTTGCTTATTCACATGTCCATTCAAATGGAAATGAGCTTCATCTCCCATGATCAACTTGTGAATAAACTCATTGTCATTTCTTGCAGTTCTCTGAAACCTGACAGCATAATTTACTCGTTTCTGAAAGTCTGCTGGTTTTAAAGATTGCACTAATTGAACCTTGAAAACGCGTTACTAAGTTCCTTATTGTAGGCCTACTAGGGGATGTCGAACATTAAAATGGCGCATATCTTTGCGTTGCAACAATTGACCGTCCATTTTCAAAGTAAAATTCAATTATCTTCACTCGTTGTTCTGTTGTAAACTTATCCATGCCAAAAATTTCCAGGGATTATATTTTTTAATTCTGAAAAGAGAAAAAGAAATATATTAATAGAAAAAAAGTTATTTAATTTTCAAAATGTAAAGTGACTTCTGGGCCACCCTATATAATCAGAAACATGAACTCCTTATCCAGAAATTGAATCAAGCCTTTGAGTGTAATAGTCGCTCACTTTACATCTTAACAATGACTGCCTTTTTTTATTACGGCATATTTTTTATAGACATCAGTAACTTTTATTATTGTACGAGTTGAATTTTTCATTCTTTGCTCATTCAGGAGGTCTAGTATGTTGGTGACTAGAGTTTGGAACGAGCTTAGGCTCGAGCTTGATACTCGATAATTTTCGAGTACTCGATACTCGAATCAAAGCCCGACGGCCTTTCGAGCTCTGTATATACAAAATGTTTTTCGTTCTGCATTTTATTTTAAATTTATTTGTCAACATATTTCTTAAGAATCCTAGAAGACATTTTATTGGTGTCATAAAACTGCTTCTTTTTAAGTACATAAAAACTAAAACTTTTGTAATTGTATTACGGATAAGTAAAGTTAAACATATAAAAGGGATTATAAATTACAGTAATTATACAGTAAAATAATGCTTTTACATTTACCAGTACTTCTACCTGAACAGAGTTGAAACTTGTTTTGGTAAAGAGATGAATTTGTTGCTGCCTACAGTACATAGAAATGCAAGGATTTTTAATCTTTATCCGATAGAAACAATATACTTTTATACTTTTAATTTTAAGTAGTAACGTGTATGTAATATTAAATAATGATTTTCTTAGTATCGGTTAAAAAAAAAAAAAAAAAAAAAAAAAAATTACAAATTGTTGAACATTGAAAATGCCGTGTTTCGCAAAACAAACATTTATTGCAGAGTAATACGCAGAAATACTGACTTGTGTCGAATGGAAAGAGAGTGACAGCTCGCTTTTACTCTGCATCAGATAAAAGAATGTCTGGAACAACAAAAGGAAAATAAGAAGAATTGAGATGGTAGAATGGGATATTTCACTTAGCCGCCATCAGTCGGCGAAGAAAGATGAAATGAATGAAAATAGACAAGCAATGTGAAAAAAAGTTGGATCATTATGGTAGTAGGTACTTCAAATAATTAACAAAATGTTAGGTAAGAATATCCGAAGGATATTTGTGTTTTTCTCTAGGAAAAGGTGAGCATCGCAAAGAACTGATACAGCTGTTTGGATGTAATAGTACAGAAAGGAAAAAATTTGTTGCAAGTTTTTTTATATAATTTTGTATGGTATCAATTTGAAGATCTCTGTGAATATATGAATTTGGGATGAACCAAGATGCATTAATAATTTCACGAAGGGTTTTATTTTGAATAACTTGGATCTTTTTATGTGGGTTTTAGCGGCGTGTCCCCATACCAGACTGGCGTAAAGTAGGTCTAAGGATGGACTTGTATAAAATAAGCTTATTGTTGATAGTCAGATTGCTATGTCTGCCGAGGAGAGGACGCATAGTAGCTGTTGAGATATTGAATTTCCTGACAGTTTCGTGTAAATGTTGCCGAAAAGTGAATTTTTTTGTCAAGTGTGACTCCGAGATACTTCACTTGATCCGTCCACTGAATTTCGTCGTCAAAGAAGATGGGATTACGCGGAAGGAAGTTTGTTTGTCCTTTTCTGAAAATAATGGCTTTGGTTTTGTCAGTGCTAACGGCAATTCTCCACAGCGTCATCCAGTTTTCAAGAAGCTCCAAATAGTTTTGTAGAAAAATTTGTACAGTATTCATGGTTGAAGCTTGAGTTAGGATAGCGGTATCGTCGGCAAATAAGGTGATAGTAATATGACATGATTTTGGAATGTCTTGAATATAAATATTGTAAAGAAAAGGAGAGAGAACGGAGCGTTGAGGGACACCTGCAGTAATATTTCTAGTAGTTGAGAGGGTGTTTCCAACTTTGACAGCAAGGTAAGAGGCAATAAGTCAAATAAAGTGGTTCGGAAAATTGAGCTGAATTAGCTTGAATATATATCCTTGGTGTCACACTCTGTCATAGGCTTTGGCAATATCTAAGAAAATTTGCAATTGAATCCATCAGTAATGTAATTGATAACGCGAAGAAGCTGATGATTAGTGCTGTGCAGATGTCTGAATCCAAACTTTTCATCAGGAGTATAAAAGCTAGGAGGCATGATTCGATTAATATAAAACAGAATAATTTTTTCAGCAATTTTAGAAATTTGACTAAGTAAACTGATAGGCCGAAAATTTTGAGGTAAAGTAGAACTTTGATGAGGCTTAAGGGAAGACAACAACAACTGCATGTTTCCATACCTTTGGCAAGTAAGAGAGCTTGATAGCTGAGTTAATTATTTTAGTTAAGCACATAATTGCATTAATTGGAAGATGCTTGAGTGCTTTGGAAGAAATGCCATCCCATCCAGCATCTTTTTTAGTTTTTAAAGAGCTAATACAATCAGCAACAATTCTCGGAGAAACAAGAAAGGTGAAATTAAGTGGTCCAGGGCTATTAAGGAAAAAAGATACTGTGCTATTGACTTTGGTAATATGATCATATCATTATTATCATATGGGGAAGCATTGGGAGTAAAGGTATCTTCAAGAACGTCAGCGAAAGTATTGGCTTTATCTTCATCACAATAAACAAGTCCATTGCAACCATGAAGTGGTGGAATCTGCTTGAAAGGCTTTTTGAATTTACGAGCAATGTCATAGAGGGAATTGTTTTCAGTAGAAAGAGTGTTTAAGAAGTTGTTCCATCGTTGAGATTTAAATTCCCTGATATCTTTTTTAATGGTCATTTGAAGAGCGTTTAAGTGAGCTTTAATTCTTGGGTCTCTAGTAGATTGCCATAATTCCGGATGCATTTTTATATTTATATTTTGGCCTATTTATTCGGAAGAGGAGAAAAGATGATTACTGATAAATTTATTGGTAGCAGAACTTAAAGCTTGTTCAACACTGTTGGTAAAATTTTGAATTTCCGTGTCTAAGGCTTCTTTACGGCTAATGCAAGGATTTCCTGGTATAGTTTCTGTCAGAATTTAAGAATATTTATTCCAACTGGTAATTCCAATGCTACGACCTAGCATGAGAGATACAAGCAGATCATGTTTTAACAAATCATAAACAAATAGCATGGGGTTAAGTTTCGGAATACTTCGGACCTGACAGAAAGCTAATGCATCGGACGTAACAGAAAGCTATACTTCCTTTAACCAATAAGAATGCGATTACTAATATTTCAACACAAATTTAGTCGAAATTTTAGCAATATTTTGATAAATATGGTTAATATTATTTGAGTTATAACCGTAAATACACGCATATTCTAGAATAGTATTTTCTGTTTTTTCTAAAATAGTAATAATGCCGAAAAACAAAAGATCAACCGTTTGGAGTCATTTCGCTAAGGCAGACCAAAATTATGCATGCTGCAATGAATGCAATAAAAAATTTTCTATTTTAAATGGAAATACGTCAACAATGTGTCGTCATCTAAGCAGCGTCCATAACATTGACGTTGACAAAGCAGAGGCAGAAACGACAGCTAAAGAAACAAAAACTTTGGATAATTTCGTAATCAAAACATCAATTGAAGAGATTGTTCCAAAAATGGCTGCAGTAGATGGTTTATCAATTGTCAAAACTCAGTCAAGATTATTCGTCAATCATTTGCCTTAAAGGGTATGAAGCTTCAAGCCAACGAAAAATCTGTAATGGCTCTTGTTCATACCATATGGAACTGTGAAACAAACTGTGTGTGCGTTCAGATTTGTCAAGTCAAATAGAGAAAATTACAGATAGAACAACATTCTCTGGATTGTAAACCAATGGAATTCAATGTTGAAAATGCTTGAACATTTGTAAAATTGTTGACGTTACAAAGGATGTACTCATTGAACTGGATCTGAAAGTATTTAAACAAATAAACCGGGAATTTAAAATCGCTGGGTTAAAACCAATTGAAGTGGCACTTAACGCTATAGGTGAAAAACAGCCATTTACACAGCATATATTTCTATCAACTTTATGCGAAAGAAGTTAACTGAACAAGAATTTGAAATAAGTAGTTCTCTTTCTGAAAATATCGATTTTTACATCAATAGCAGGATGAACAGAATTCACTAAGCAACTTAAATAAAACGCCATCAAAAGCTTCTATAGAACTAGCACCTGCTTTGACTAAGCGTTTTTTCCGTCACCAGATTCATCACCAAATTAATCAAATGAAAAATCAAGCAGTGAAGCAGAAACAACTACCAAAGTTGGTGCTTCTTTAAATGAACAACTTAGAGTACTATTAGAAGCTCCAACCAGCAAACTACCGAAAGGTGACCGCTTTAAAAAAATTAAGTCAAGAATTTACTTTGTCAAAAAGTAATGGTGAATTGACTGTAAAGTAGTTACTTGAAGCTATTTACAGTATAAAACCAACGTCGACTGATTCTGAGAGGGCATTTTCCGTGGACAACAATTTTTGCACCAAAATTAGCTCGAAGTTATCAGATAAATCACTACATGTACTGGTGTTTTTAAAATATTTTTTCATTAATATAAATGCATAAATAAATATATAAGTAAAGAAAAAAAGTTTCTTTTAAATTTCTAAAAAATATTATTTTAATTATAAGTCTTTTGATAATGTAACTATGTCAACTTCAAATGCTCAGCCCGAAAAAACAATCAAGCTCGAACTCGAGCTTAACCGAACTTCAAATCATCAAGCTTTACCAAACCCTAGTTGGTGACAGAGCTTAAGATAATCAGTTAGAAATACAGTGAATCACCTTTCTACAATAGTCACCTCTGAAAATGACCAGAATTTCTGAGAACAAAAATAAACAATGAATAGCACTTCTCCAAAATGACAATCAGAAGCACCTCTGAAAATGACCAGAATTTCTGAGAACAGAATTAAACAATGGCACTGAATTTCACTTCTTCAAAATGACAATCAGAAGACCTGAATCATCTGTAATCAGGCATGGTTGTGTTAGAGAGGACATTTTTGCTAAAC